GCGTGGACAACGCGCTACGACAATTGAAGCGAGAAGTGGCCTATTACGCCATTTACTTCACGTCGTGGAAACTGAATTCAAAAGGTTAGACGTACCTCTTGGTATTCACACGACTGCTGCATGGAGCTGTGTTCGCCGCCAACGCGTTCACTTTCTACAGCGAGGTGTTTCCATGCAACGTGTTGTTTGGGCGGCAACCAGCAATGCTTCCTGGCTTGCCTGTCCTGGACCATGAGGGGCCGACAGAGACATCTGATCATCCCCGAGAACAGGTGGTTCGCTGGGCATGCATTGAAGCCATCGCACAAGCAACTGCAGTAGCCAATACCAATCGTGCATTACGCACTATGACAACCAATACTGGTCAGGACTACTTCGGCGAAGGAGGCTCGGTCGACTACCCTCGTCCCGCAACTGCGAAGGACGACTGGGGAGGCTGGAGTGGCCCTTCCCCGATTGTACGGAACTATCCCGACAGGGGTCAGGTCATTCTTCGAGTGGGGAACCGCGATGTAAAATCCAATGCGGCGACGCGCGACATTCACTATACATCGAAGCTTTGATCGCCCGAGAGATTGGTTCAGACAACATTGCGATGCGGACAGTGCTTGCATTTGTTGCCAGTCTACCTGCGGGGAGACCTGCTATGACGTTTGGCTATGTCCCGACCAAATAGGGGGCGCTTCAGATGACAAGTGCGAGCTGACTATATCCTAAAGTACATTTAGCTTTACAGTTCCTTAGCAGGAACTTGTTTCCTATCGAGAATGTAGTTGCTATCGTATTAGCTACGAGTATCGACATGCTGTCTCCGGTGGCTTATGCTGACAGGTGCACTTTTGGCACATGATGACAACGACGGGAATCCAGGTTTCCACTACCATGTAGCCGAAGGCACTGCCCTGAATATATGTATAGATATATATGAAATAGCTGGATCAGCACATTCGAGGATCATTCAGTGCCTAAAGTCTGCTAGACCTCAATCGGGCTTCGACCAAGACATTGCGATGCTCGAGGAACTGGCTGACGCGCCGACACAAGACGACAACGCCAGATAAGCTTCATAAGCCGAACCACCACAGGGGGATGGACGGCTCTCTACGATCTATGAGGAATCAGAAGACGATTTTGAGGCACATATTATAGAGGTGTGGTACACAGAACTACATGCAGAAAGGGAACTATTGGAGGCAACTGCATTAGATGACCTTTACACAGTACCCACACAATTCATCGCAGACAACAGTGCGCTGGTCACGATAGCTGAAGAACAGCGGGGGCACCTGCCTACGCGGGGTCACCCACGCGACGCCGACATCGAGGAGACGTATCATGTCCCACTCTGTTCCACGGACGAAGACCATAGTTGCGGATTGGAGTCGGACGACAACGGTCAGTATCTAGAACCCTGCTTTACTGCAGAAGCGTCAAAGGTAGTCTTATCCGAACAACAGCATAGGATATTATACTTCGACCGTGGGACCACCATGCGAGTACGTGCAACCCCCGCCGCAGAAAGATCTTTGGTCGTCAAGGGGGGCGACCTCGCGAAGGCCGACATTCAGGCGCACGCAGTTACGGTATCAATTTCATGTTTACTGAATTCAAGACATTGTTTGACAATGGGTGTTTCAAGATGGAAGATATATCCAAGGCGTCAAGCGCCATGACGTCGAGGCACGCATGGAAGTTCGTAAAGAACGAAAAGGGCGAGATGGAACGCGCCATCAGACTGCGCCCGGTACTTCGGGCTGTCATGGACCACGGGGCTTTCGACGTGGAAACATTTTCAGGAACAGCGCGGCGGTCAAGTCAGCGATTACTCGCAACCGCGGCAGCGTGCAAGAAGCAATGGGCCATTGCTTCCCTCGACATCAACATGGCTTTTTTTTGCGCGTGTTAACCTGCCAGGAACTTGCAGAGGCAATGGGCGAGGGGGAACGCGCGGCTTGCTTCGGCATCGGCACTCCGATCCCTCCCAGGATCCGAGCACTACGATGAGCCGAAGCACTGCTTGCAGCGCCTCAAGCCAGGCACCAGCACTGAGGATGCACCGGGGGCTTCCTCACTGAAGCTCAGAATTACCGCGGAGGGCTCCGGTCTCAGACCCGCGCCCTACGACGAGGAGTTCGAGACAAGCAGTAACCTGATCACAGCGGAACACGTTGATGATGCCAATCTGGCCGGCACTGGGGACACCGCCGACAGGCGCGTCAAGTGCGTCGAGGACATTTTTGGGGCGTGTAAACTTATTGGACACACATGCGCCCACTGCGCCGTGAGGTGCACAGGGGATGGGGGCGGCAATGTCACGCTGGATCAAGACGAGCACATCCAACAGCTCCGTCCTATACAACATCCTGAACTCACAGGCGCAGACGCCGACGCCAAAGCATTGAATATAGTCGCTGACATGTTTGTCAGCCTCAGAGGCGCGTTGGCTTGCGCATTAATCACACAGGTGTGGTTGATGGTATACGAGGTCTCTCTGCAACGTGTCCAGGAACCGACCAACATACAAGTGCGACGACTGAACGCGATTGCAAGGAAGCCGCAGGCCTGCCCTGAGAAGATCGTCTATCGATCGATGACTCCAACGGGCGAAGTCGACCTGCAAAGCGACTCCGGCTATCGTCGCCTGAGTGGAGATGCCGATCACGTGGTCAAATGCTACGGTATTCGCGGGGCAAACCTGCTACGGCGTGGAAACACGCCAAGTGGTAAGCCTGTCGTCCATTTGACTGATGCGCACTGCAAGTTACGTCGCCTGTAGGTCCGCTCCAGCTACTCAGCAGAAACACTAGCAGCAGCCCGCAACTTGAAGGAGTGCTATCCCACGATCGTTATTCTGCACGAACCCCACGCAGGGCCACTGATACCTACTCAGTCGAAGGATATACTGGAGATGTGTGCCTGAATATTAAGGTTACTTTGACCATAGATGCTGAATATGTCTTCAAGTTCTTGTCAAGCACAGACCTGAAGAAGCCGAATGAATGCACTGCCGAATGAATGTACTCTTTTGGGGCACATCAGTTGGATACGACAGATGATTGAGCGAGGAATCGTGCACAGTATCCAGCGGTGTGACACTCGAGATATGGCCGCGGACGCTCACACAACGGGGAGCATTGAGAGAGATATGCTCCTACTGGTCATGGGAGGAACGCAATCCTTCAAACATAACTTAATACGCCATACTCCGTACCGGGCCGGCCATGCAACATCGTCTGAGGCCGCTTGAGCAGCAGTCGTTTATACAGCGCGCTGCTCGCAAGGCATCTTGCGCGCAAGGGCACTTGCTTGCGGGTTCACCCTCCTTACGAACCCGCGTTTTGCTTTTTCTTGGATATGGTAGTGTTTACTGGGTAGGGGCGGCGGACTCGCGCTTCGTGTCCCTCCCCCCCCCCGATTCTACAGTGAGTTGGAACAAGGGCGAGAGATAGCGAGCGTTTGTCCGTGGCCGTTTGGGATCAAGCGGCCGGCCGCCAACATGTGACTGTGCTTCATTGCGCGGCGTACTACTTGCCATCGAGACCGAAAGCATCCCTCGCTTGAGATAGCCCGTCGCTCTCGCGACGACCTCTTCCAATTGGGACTATCGCTATTGCGGCACAACAGAGCTCGAACGGCGATTCGCATAAGGCGAAGCTTCTGGTCGAGCCTCCGGGCCCCCTTCAAACTACCAGGCCCCGTCTTGCCAGGAGACACGGTGGCGGATTATCGCAACATGTGGGAGCCCATCTGGTTTGTAATCATTATCCGCACAACGGCGTTCGGAGCAAGCATGTGAGCATTGAGATATTGCCAGTGTGGTCTGCGTTGAGTGACGTTGCGTACGTAGTTTCGTAGCGGCAGGGTGTACCGTTACAACTGGGCAAAAGGGCTCGAAGTATCATGCAACTCCCGCCTCCTCCTCGCCCCCTTCTTCGCCGCCCCTTTTCACCACCTGCTCTGCAGCTCTGTTGATCTCCCCCTCCCGTTTCCCCTGCACATGCAGCCAGGGAAACGTGCGTGCGCATGCATGCATTTTGACATCTGGTGGCCCCAAAGCGGCCCGGACTCGTTGCATGCGAGGCGTTCGCGCGCAGAGTTCTTTGTGTCCTAAAGTCAGTTCCCAATCCCAAAATAGAGATTGTTGGCAGAATGCGCACGCAACCTGCTTAGTAGGCTTGAATCAGGCCCGCCTTTTGCAGCAGCCGGAGCCGATCAATGGTCCAATTTCGGGAGAATCGGAAAGGCACATATGAAATCACGTCCCCATTAGTTTTCGGGAGGAAGTGGCAGTGTAGAGAACAGTGGAAGCGTGGTCATGGGCCGCGTACGTTTTGCTTTGTGTGCAATTCCGCACCCCATTTTTCCAAGGCCGACCACAAGCTGAGTAGATATTGCTTCAGAAGGGCCGGGATAAGACAACTGACCAGGGACTCCTCATTCCAGGCTGGCCGGGGACGATCGATTTCAGTTTAAAAGGTGTCGAGTGTGGGAAGGAGGAGGAGGAGGAGGAGGAGGAGGAGGAGGAGGAGGAGGCGGAAAAGGAGGAGACGAAGGACGAGGAGGAGGAAGGGGAGGGGGAGGGGGAGGGGGAGGGGGAGGGGAGGGAGAGGAGGACGATGGGGAGGAGGAGAAGCATCAGGAGTGCTTCCCGCATGCGTAATCTTTTAGAGTCGTCCTGGCAGAGTGAGGCTCACTTTGACGGCGCGGTAACGTTAATTTTCAGAAAGCTCATTGCACGTTCGAATGACATTCTTGGGAGCTGTCCTTCAGCATCGGCAGCAGAGCTGCCAGTGCTCGTCGCAAACCCCACAGCCGTGCGGCTTTCAGGAGCGACAGTAGTACACAAACGCAATTGAGCGCTGTTTTTCTGAAAATATGGGGAAGGATGGGGAACGGAAGAGATCAGATAATGCAGGAAATATGAAACAAGAAGGGGAGTCTTGCAATCTGTGCCGCTTTTTTATGTCTCCCTGGGACCCTTTAGGTTTGTTGGTGGCCAGAGCATTTCCTCACGGACAGCGGGTCTTTGTGCGTTCCCGCCAATGCCGTCGCCCCCCGGCCTCGGCCGCGCGATGGTCGCCGAGGGCGACGATGCTCCTGGGCCACTCCGGCCTGGCGGTGCTCCGGATGCTGCGACGGACGTCGCCAGGCCTGCGGCCGCCAGCGGCGCCGTTGGGCCTGGGACCACCAGCGGCAGCGCGGCCTGCGACGCGGACGCAATGGACATGCTGCGCCAGCTGATCGTCGAGGCTGCCCCTGGGAGTTCGGGGGCTCGCGAGAGGGGGCTGGGACTCGGCTACTTCGGCCCTCGAAGGCCAGGCAACCACCGCCGAGAGCAATGGAAGGTGAAGCGAGAGGCACGAGGAAGAGGAGGAGGAGGAGGAGGAGGAGGAGGAGGAGGAGGAGGAGGAGGAGGAGGAGGAGAGGGAGCAGGAGGAGGATGTGCGATGGGCAGAGCATTGATCTTCCCCTCCGTGGCCGCTTCGGGCTCAAGGTCTTTCTGTGCGCCGTGAGGGGTGCACTATCCTTCCCCGCTGCGGGCCGCGAATGCCCTGGGACCACGTCGGGCCTCTCGCGGCGGTCCACCCTGCCGTCGGGTCGGCGGTGGCCGCTTTCTCTTCGTGGTTCATCGGCGGGGTGTTCGCCGACTACCTCGAACTACCTCGAGAGCGAGCGGGTGGCGGGGCGGGCAGAAGTTCACTGCCCAGACCCAGGCCCGCAGGTTTGTCACTGTCACTGCGTGTGTGAACAGAGCCCCAGCGAGGACGCTTCCGGCTACCAGCTTTACTTCGTGGCGCTCCTGAGTCTAATGTTTTCAAGCCTGCAGCTGCTGCTTACGTGCACTAGCCATAGCGCTTTTGGGCGTCGCGCTGGCTCCGCTGGCGAGGCTGGCTCCAGTGGCGTTCCTGAAGAGGGCGGGTGGGTGCCGCCTTGCAGTACAGTCGGGGTTCAGCGCCCTACAGAGGTCCTTCGTGAAGTACGCGGAGGGGGGCGAGGAATCGTTACATGTGCAATTCTTTCTCAGTGACATGCCGAGCGGAGTAATGTCGGAGGTCTGGCCAGAGCTCGACGTGTATGACGAGGACTGCAGTGACGCGGCCACGTTCGAGACGGTGCGGCTCCGGCACGTCAGTGGCGAGATGCCTCCTGGGCTGAGCGGGACAGCGGAGTACCGCCTCAGGGGCGGCCGGGGCGACGAGGAGGTGCAGCAGGTCCTGACGGACTCGAAGGCGGACGTGGCGATGCGGTCGGCGGCTGCTGGCGCGGCGGGCCCCGGCGGGGCCGCCCGAGGAGGCGCCACCCCGGCGCAGCCTGCCGCCGGGGCGGGCGCTGGCTGCAGCACGGCCGCCGCGGGTTCACGGGTCGTCGACGAGTGCGTAAACGGGCAGGACATCGGCGGGATTGTCCCGCGGGCGCCTGGCGGTGCCGTCGTCCGCGACATGATGGTGCTTGCCGGGATGGCGAACACAGGGCCGGTGCTCGTGTGGAGGCTAAACTACCACGTGGCGGATATCGACGTCTTCGGCGAGTCCCGCATCAAGGGGTGCAGGAGCGCCGCGGCATCCCCGCGGGCAAGCCAGGCGGTGGGCGACGACGTCACGGCGCTGTCGGTAAAGTGCGGCGGGTTCGGCCAGCGACGGCTAGGGTTCCGGCAGTCGGTGCGGGAGAGGATGTCCATGGAGTTCGACGCTTCCCCTCTGAAAGGGCCGCGCGCCGAGGAGTGGGACACGAGCCTCGCCCGCGTCCAAAAGCTCGCGGACACCTACGACGGGCTCAAGTTCACGGGCCTGGCGTGCGCGGAGGTGGCAGTGACCGGTCGCCCGCTGATCGCCGAGGCGCACCCTTCCAACCCGACGGCCCCGAGCTACGAGGGGCGTCGCAACTCATGGGCGACGGGCCGCGGGCGGCCGGTGCGCCGGCGGCGCCGGCGTCAGCGGCCCATGTCTCGGAGGGTCTCCTGGCCGAGGCAGTTACCATAGAGCAGAAGCGGAAGGCGGCCAATAATCGCACTCCACGCACACGTCCCCCCGCAGGTGGAGGGCGAGGTGGAGGCGACGCGGCCGCCAGTGGAGGTCAGTGCCAAGCATCGGGGACTGGATGTGGTTCGGCCAGCCCCCGGACACCATGGGCTTCGGCGGTGCCGAAGGGCCTGGAGGTGCTACGCTAGCCGCCAGGTCGACCTCGCGTGCGTTTTTGGAGGAAGGGAGCATCTCTTCAAGGCCAAGAGACGTTTTTCCTCTGCCTCGCCTCGCCATCCAGCCCATGGATAGGCGCGGCTCGATGTGCCGTTCGACGATGCGGCGGATCCTACGCCAGATGGCAGTCGCCAAGGCTGTCAGCGTGTCCATCGACGCTTAACTCAATGTATTTCGGCGACCAGGACTGGCCAGCTAGCCCCCCCTGGCGCGAGCGAGCTTGTGGGTCTGCCGCAGTGCCAGCGCCCGGTCTTGATTGATTTGATTTCCCGCGCCCGGGAGCTGGGCCCTAAGTCCCCTGGCGTCAACCGCCCCGGAGCCCTTCAGGAACATCGGGTTTTTAATGTTTTAAGCACTCTTGCGGGGGGATATCTCGGGCCCGGGCCCAGGGCCCCCTTGGCCTTGCGAAGTTCGTCGCTCCCCGACCCGGGGCGGCAGCCAGTTGGTGTGGTCGCGGCCCTGTCTGGCGCGCCGCGCGAGTGCCTGGAAGATTTTGAGGATCGGATGCTTGTCGGCGCAGCTGCGCGGAGTGCGTTGGCCGAGCAAGCGGCGCGCGCGCCGCCGTGCCTTGGCCCCTTTCTTCAGAAGCCCGACGGCTTTGGCGAGTTTGTCGCCGTGCTCGCCGCCCGGGGCCTCGCGAGGTTCACCCGGCGTCCGTCGGCCAGGATTGGAGCGTTCTCTGTGCATACGAAGTCAGGGAAGCAACGTCTCGCCCTGGATTGTCGGCAATGCAACCCCCGTTTCGCGCACACGCACCCCCTCGCGCGGAGCTGGGGGGGGCTCAGTAACTAGTTTGCGCGAGCTTGAGCGTCCGATCGGGCAGGCCGTGTACTGTGCCGAAGCGGAGTGTAAATATTGCTTCAACGAGTGCGGGACCCCCTCGGAGTTGTCCGATTCCTTCGCGTTCGAGTTGGACCTGGAGGTCTCGGAGCTCATCGGGCCCGAGGTGTCCCGGGATCTATTCGACGGATTAGCTCCGGACGAAAGGGTTTCCATTTGTTTGACAGTACCCCCCATGGCCCATGGGCTTTACCTGGCCTTTCTGGTTTGTTCAGGAACGCCACCTCAGGTCGCTTTGAAAGAGGCCCCAAAAGACAGGATCTTGGTCGACGGTCACCCGGCTCCCAGTCTGAATGTTGGGGACACAGTGCACATGGGATATTGTGACAACCTCAGCGCCGGTGCCTCTGTCAGCGAGAGGTCGCGCAAGGTCCGAGATGACGTTCAGAGGAGAATGGTGGAGGATGGGTTCTCCCTTCGCGACGTTTCTGGCCCTGACCTCGTCGCCCGCGCGCTGTGCCCCGCGCTCGACGGGGGGTCGGGGGCGGCCAGGCCCGAACCGCTGAAGGTTTGGAAGCTTATCCGGGCTGTCCAACGGTTGTCCTTCGGGTCGGTGGTGAGTGCGAAGGTGGTGGGCAGATTGGTGGGCCACTATATATATTTATATATATATATATATATATATATATGCATATAGGGATGTTGAACTGGAGTGCGCTACCAGTGCTGCGACACCTGCGCGACTTCGCCGCGCAGAGCTGCGAGGCCGAACGCCCGTGGCCGAGCTGCTGCAGAGAGTGTCGCATCATCTCCGGGATTGTCCCCTTGTACGTCGCTCGACTCATGATCCCTTGGAACGAGACGGTCACCTGTGCCGATGCCCCCCTATTGGCCACGGCATGGGCCAGCGCGTTCTGGACCCCGGCGTCGTCGGGAGTCTGGGCAGGTGGAGCGAGAGGTGGAGGTTCAAACGTCCGCCCCCGGGGGATTGGGCCCCTCGGCCCAGGGCTTTACGGCTCGACCCCCTGGCGGGCATCGCGAGCGCTGGTCACGCGGGGGCCCCCGGAGTAGTTCACGAGGGCCTCTGGGGCGACGCGGGGGATTTGGACTCTTTCAGGCGCCGCGAGGACCCCGATTTCCGTGGGGTTTCCGCTCGTCTGCTGAATATGGACGACTGGGATGTTGCGCCATGCGGGGGGCTGGCGGCATGTTTTTTTTTTTTTTTGGGGGGGGGGCGCAGCGTGCTCATGGAGGGGGGGCGGTTGTCTTGGCTTTCCGACGGCTCGCGCGGGCTGCCCGCGACTTCTCAAAACGCCATGTGTTGTGGTGGACAATATGGGATTGTGTTTCTCTTTGGCTAAGGGGCGTGCTTGTTCGTGCGATCTGCTGAGGGTCTGCCAGCAGGTAGGTGCTCTGCTTTTGGTCACCAAAATTCGCCTCCGGCCGCGATTTGCGCCCAGTTTGCTCAACGTCGCCGATGGGCCGTCGCGCCGCGGCGGCAGGCAGGACAGCGCTTGTCGCCCCCCCGCGTCCGCGCCTGGCGGGCAAGGTCGGGGCGCTGAGGCGGGCGGCGACGGAGCCGACAGGCGGCGCCGCGTCCTCGAGCTCGGGGTCGACTTTCTCGCGGAGCTTCCAGAACCCGAGCGGCGACGTGATGGTGACCCATGACATTAGAGCTGTCGGGGGCGATCCGCTGCCTGACCGATGGGAAAGGCCGCGACCCCGGACGCGCGCCAGTCGGCGCCGCTGGGGGCGCGACGGGGTCTGGTGCAGGGCTCGAGGAAGAGGAGGGCCGCCGAGGCGATGGACCCTCGGGGGGCTCTGCCTGCTCGGCACGACGAGAAGTCGAGGCTCGAGGAGAAGGGCATCTCGCATCGCATGGGCCACGACTGCGCCCTTTATGTCAAGGAGCTCAAGGGCGCATCCCCTGAGGGTGGATGGGTCCGGAAACTGGACCCACGCAGAAAAGGTCCACTTCCGCAAACAAGCTTAAATATGTTAGAACATAAACTAGACACTTTTCTATGTTGAAAAAAGAAAGTGTACACTTTTTATGTTACAGACAAAAAGTGGACCTTTTTATGCGAAGACAAAGAAGTGGACACTTTATCTTAAGAACAAAAAGTGGACACTTTTTATGATAATAGCAAAAAGTGGACCCTTTTTGTTCTGCGCTTTACAAAGTGGACCCTTTTCATGCTAAGTGCTTAAACTGGACGCGTTTCATGCGCAATCTGAAAGTTCCGTTAGCGCTCCACCTCCTCACTTCCTTC